CGAGACGCGAGGAGACTGTGGTCGTAGTACCCAGAAGGCAGGATGTTTTCGATGATACTGGTCAGAATCCAAAACGCGTCCTCTGCTGATGGCATTATCAACAGCAAATTCGCCGCGATAAGGTTCATGCCCTGGCAGTAGCCGACCTCTGGGTTTCGGCGGGCGTAGGCTTTCAGCACCTCCTTAAGCTTGGACACGCCCGGCCCCTTGCGGAAGAAGATGTTGTCGGTCAGAGTGCGGTTGATGTCCATATCGATCTGGGACACTGCTAGCGGGTCATCATCTTCGTCCGGTCGAGCGACGATATCTTGATAGTATCCGGGAACACGAAGCGTAGTGGCGCCGGAGCACTCAGACCAGACTTTGGCGCGCAAGTTGACTGGGATGCCACCGAGAACCAAGTTCCTCAACTCCGATCTCTTGGCGCGCCCAACCTTGCCTTTGTTTCCGAGGCCAGTGATTCCGATCAGCTCGCCATCGGCTATGGCAGCTTCGGGGATGGTCATGGCAGGTCGCTCGAAGCGGGCTTCGGCAAGCGCGGCTGCTGCTGCGGCCGCAGCCTCACCATCTCGCTTCCTCTCCGCCCTGACTTTGCGCAGGAACTCGTTCCAACGTGCCGCCTTGTCTCTCTGCAGAGAATCGTGCAACTCGCCCATGTGCTGGAGAAGGAGCTTCACGGGCTCTGTGTCGTCCCTGACAACCGTTCCTGCAGCAGCATCAGTCTCAACTGGGGGTGTCGCCTCGCTGTCGATGACGGATGTTGTTGTGCTCGCAATCGGGACGAATCCTCGCTCGTCAGCCGCAATGAGTCCAGGTGACTTGAGGCCCAGTTCTCCACCCTCCAGCACCTCAAGAGATGGCGCTCCGAGTGAGGGGGTATGAGACAAAAGCTCCGTCGGGAATGTGGCCAGCTTGAGGTAATCTTGCCACTTTTTGGGCTTCCCCTCACCCGCGCGTTCCTCCGTGGACGACGGGCTGCCAGGTCGTTCTTCGCTGCCGGGGCTTGCAAGCACCTCCTCTTCCTCTTCAATCATTGGGGAAGTCAAGTCCGACCGGCCGTTTGACAGCATCTCGGCACGTCCGCCCTGCTTCAAATGACGTGCCATCTGCGCAGATTCGCGCTGCCTCTTCTTTCTCCGTTGATCGTAGATGAAGCCGAAGCGGTCGGTGAGATACTCGCTTCCGATATAGTTATTGTAAATATGCGTCAAGGTTGGCGGCTGGGTCTCGGGTGGGAGGATGGCATCCATCTCGACGGGACCGTAACTCTCCTGGCGGTTCGAGGTCGCATTCGTCGGACTGTTCACCATGGTGTCCCATCTCTCTTGCGGTTGAGTCCTGGCGGTGGTATTGACGGGAGGAGCGTTCGCGGTGCCCGTGGTTCTGCGCATGGCCATGAGAGCCTTGGGGCCGCCCGCCGTCGAGACCGCTCTGCTTGACTGTGTGGTCTTGGCGCTGGAGGTTGAGGACGCTCGCGGGGTCGACTGCGACTGCGGTTGGGTAGCACTATTAGACCTTCCGCGATTGGGGCCGCCCTCGCGCGTGTTGATTGCGCCTCCGGCCACCAGTCTCATGAGGCTAGCAGCGACCGAAGTTGAGGCTTTGCGTGAACCAGGGGGTCCAGACTGAATGCTAGACGCTCGACTGGGTGTTCTTGGTGGCACGCTTTCGGGCGGCATACCCTCGCTGGGTGGGCTGAAGAGATCGTCCTGAAGACCGGGCCGCCTATCGGCAGTGGACTGCGTCCTCACAACGGTTGAAGGTCTCGCGATGTCGTCGCCATTGACGCTGCTGGGCATGCTGCCCTTTCTGCTGGTTCCGCCCCAAAGATAATCCTTCCATCCCCTCGCGGTTCCTCTTCCGTCGGGAACGGAGGGCATAGCTAGGTTGCTAGCGCGGATCGTGGCGTCGTTGCCATCAGTCTGTCCAAAGACGTTTACGTTGACAGTGTCCTGCATGGCATCGCTCATGAGGTCAGACAGCCCGCTCTCGTTGCGGCGATTGCCGGGGCGTTCGGTCTTGACCTCTAGTTCGATCGTTCTTAATCTCTTCTCAAGGTCTAGGTTAGATAAGCCGCATTCCAGTATAATCTTGCGCAAAGCCCTCTCCCTTTCGTCGGCCTTCCTCCTCAGCTGGGCGATTTGGGCATCGCGCTGTGCCAGGTCGGTCGCAACCTGCCTGACGAGCGCAACGGCTCCGTGCCTGGCAATGAGGCGCCCAATGTGCTCATCGTCGGAGTGGTGAAGGGCACCTGGTATCTTGTGGGTCGAAATGGGCGAGTCCTCGAACAGCGCATCGCGAGCCGCTTGTTCGGCGGATGATCCAGTCAGATTGCCCAGCAGGGAGATGGGACCGGGCCTGGTATCGGAGATCTTGCGTACGGTGGGAGGGGCTTCGGGTTCAGGTGTCAGTGGCGGCGGAGGAAAGGCGTGTTCGCCCCTTGGTGAGTCGGGGGAGAAGGAAGGGAAGCTCGTCAGCGACTTGTCTTCGGAGGCGGCAATGGAGCTCGCGGAGCTCGAGGGCTGGGAGTTGAGTTTTGATCGTTTGGCTCGTACGGTATGTGAGCGTCCGCTTCTCATGGACGTTGCGCTATGCTGCGAGACGGAGCGCTCGAGAGGGAGAGTAGGCTCGGGGTCCATGTTGGTTGGCGGGCGATGATGTCGCCAAACGTCATGGTTTCCAAAAAAGCAAACGGCAGCAGGATGTTGCAGGATGCGCCCGCTGCTGTAAGCCTGCGTCCTGGCGAGAGGACTGACGGGTTGAGTATTCTATCGGTGTGTATCGCGAGCTTCGTGGGAAGTAGAGAGGGAGGATAGAGAAAAGGGTGAGGTGCGCGACCTAGGTGAGTAGGTAGGAAATGTTTGGTGGACTGTAGTAGCGCAGACGCTAAAGCGGAGAGAGCCCAAGAATGGCGGTAATGTCGAGGTCAGAAATGGGAAGTGTAGTCATTGTGTGTTGTGTGTGTGTGTGTGTGTGTGTGTGGGCGGGACGATATCATTATGCAATCCGACGCTCCTCCAAGTACCAAGCCAAGTCCAGCAATGCAATGGAAGCACATTTGCGGCTTTGCCTGACGTGGACCAGGGGTGGAAGGCAAACCGGGGGGCGATGATCACCCAGCATGTCTGGGGTGCTTCGCTGTGACTCTGCCCTGTATCCGTCGTAGCCTGTCTTCGTACTATGCAGTAGGTACATACTGCGTAGGTGAGCACTGCGAGCAGCTACCTAGTGGCTACCTTGCAGTGGATAATAAGGGGACTTGGGTTCCGCAGCTTCCATCAAGATTCCATCCACCTCAGGTACGAGTACAAGCTCCAGCTCAAATTACCACCAATTTCATCCGTCTTAGCGCGGCGACGATACCTCCCGCTACGTATGGATACCTACCTCAGGTACCACCCGATGACATGCCTCTGAGGTGAATCGGCCGCGATTACCTCACCGCAGGCCTCTTCACCTGCAGCCCGCTGCAAATCCACAAGTTGAGCCCTTGTCAAGTTGCGCGGAAGGAGAACATCCTCCTAACCCATCAATGCCTTACGTAGTACATCCATAAGGTACGGATACATGCACATCTCGGGGCATCAGGTCGCGATATTCAAACCTTTCTTTTCTGCCTTGAACCTTGACACCAGCGCCTCGTTTGTTGATCTCTTCCCCCCCCCCCCCATACCCATACCTTGCCACATGAATGTCAACATTGACACGTCTGAAGAAAAACAAGCACGAGAAAAGGGCCACATCGCACAAAACTTAATGCCTACTTACCTAGTATGCGTGCATACACAGTAGACAAGAAAAAGACAGCGCCGGGTTCCCACGAGATGCAACACGCAAGGGACATCCAGAAACACACCAAGCCCAGGCCACTTGTCGCAAAGATACGGGACAGATGGACAGCAAAGCACCGTAACACCATCCCGTCAACTATGACAACTAATACTCTTACGTGCCCACGCCCGGCCGGCTCTCCCTCCAGTGTCCGCTCGCCCTCCCCGTTCTCGTGCCCTCTTCCTCGTTCCAAACCAAGACTTCTTTTTTAGTCTTGCCAAGTTAGCCCTGCCATACCCATGCCGTCCCCTGTCTCCAAGGGAGTCCCTGACCTTCCTCCTCCAATTCTCCCGTCCCAAGCTCCACCGTGGATCCTTGGAAACCTGAGAGAAGACTGGATTTGGAACAGCGGAGGATAGAGGAATCTTCCTGGGTGCTCGCTCTCTTCTCCTAATAATACAGCCTCACTATCGAGCCCTACACACCAAAACATACGCAAAAAAGCTCATCCCGTCCTGGCCTCCCAATCATGTACTTACTTCCCTGTCTTGGCGGCCTCCCATACCAATCTCTACACAGGCAATCCCTTCCCTCAAGCGCGCCTATCTCAACACCGGATACCTTCCACGCGCGCATCTCGTGTGCGCCAGTCATCCCAACTTTCCGCTCCGTCCTTGCGTACACAGGAAAGGGTTCTGGAAAGGTCCAAGGGGGGGAAACTCGGGAAGGGGCGACTAGCGATTTAGGGGTCCAAAAAAAGGGTGATCTCCTTTGCGTGTGTGGACTGTGGGTACCGTCCTACTCCCTACCTTTCCGCCTTGCATCTCTGGTCGGGCACATCATCCGGATTTTGTGCACCTCACACTGGCCAACGACGCCGTCGCCCCGGCACTATGTACCGTTCATTGGGCTCCGAAAAAAAAAAAAGCCAGGTATCAAATCTCATTATTTGGCACCACTCACACACAAAACTCGCAGACTATCCGTATGCGTGACAGTGCCTCTCCCTAAGATTACCTCAGGGGGTTGCTTATTTTAACCACCCACGCGATAACCAAATTTCCCCTGCTGCCCAACTCTGGATCGTTGGTCGTTCCCCCTCCAAACCGGGAAACTGGTTAACAGGTGTGAGTGGGCAACATACACCGCGTCCACGGAAGAATTAGTTGATTCTTCTTTTGCTTGATTCGTCCGACGATAATCTCCCCTTGAAACCCAAGAGACTCTACATGTACTTTCCCGGGGACCAGGACCCGACTCAGGAACGCTTCCACACACCGGCGCAGCGCGCACTGCGCTGCCACCAAATTCGTCATTCAGTTGGCGCCATGACCATCCTTCAACTGGAGATACCCGGTCAGATACGAGGGCACCACTTCACATGCTCTTTCCCGTACGCCGGAGACGTGCCACTCAATCTCGATCCTGTCAGACTCCGGAGGCGCCGGCTCGGCAGTCATGACGACAACGGAGTGGGGAGACCCGGCTACACGGAGCTTCGCTTTGCCCATCAAGGTATCAAGCACTCTCACATGGCAGACCCCACGCAATACCACAGGACACCATCATGACCATCTTGAACCAGCATCAAATCAAAGTACTGCATATACAGAGCCTGTATTCTCTCTTTCATGTTCCTGAAGCAATGCTTTCTACCGTGCTGTACTCGTACAATACTCCTCTCGTTTCAGTCATTAATAATGGTGGTAGTCCCCCCTTTTTTCAAACAATTACCCAGACGCCTTTCTTTGTTTTCGAACCCGAAAAAAATCTCCCATATGGATGGAAAAAAAGATAATAGAAGAAGAAAAACACAAATCCCCATGCTGTACTCAAAACGCCTAATTCTTTTGGGCCCACTCGCTTCTGTTGTTGTACATCCTCCCTCCCTGCGGCCTCAAGCAAAGCTGTCCTCTGCGTTCCACCGGCTGCTGTCGTCAGCCTTCACGGACACGGGTGCCCGCGCCGGTGTTTGCCTCTGAGCCGGCGCCGGCGCCTCTCTCGGAGCTTCAGCCACAGCTGCCGGAGCAACAATCGGAACTTGGGCGACATCGCTAGGAAGCAGACCTTCCTTCACCAACGCCTGGAATGAAGGGTCGCGGGCAAGCATATGCTGGCGCTTGACAGGTAGCCCGTCCAGCAGCTTCAGCTTCTTGCAGCAGCCCACAAAAACAACCTGGTAGAGTCGTCGCCGGAGACGCGTCGTCTCGTCGAGACGCCGGGCAAACATGGCGTCCCTCTCCGGGTCAGCCTCAGGGAGCGTGAACGGGTCTGCGACGTGACCCCGGTCTGCCGACACGGTTACGTGGACTGGCGGGTAGAAGCCCTGCGTGATTGGATTGTCCCGCAAATCCAATTGTGTCAGGTGCGGGAAGTCCGTCAAAAGCTCCGTGACTGTCGTCGAATCTGCCAGGCGGTTGCCGGCAACGAGAAGTTTCTTGAGCCGGGGAATGAAACGAATGGGTGACAGGTCTGCGACGGCGTTGAAGTTAAGGTTCAACGAGCGCAGGTTCGGCATCAGCTGGCCGAGCCCTTCCGGTAGGCAACGGAGCCCGCAGTTGGCTAGCTCAAGCAGCTGTAGGTTGAGGAAGTCTACCTTGGGCTCAAAAGTGCCAATGTAGTTGCCAGAAAGGAAGAGTTTGCGGACTTCGTACGCCGAAGAAAGGAAGGAAAGATCCAAATGTACATCACCGCGCTGCTCTCTTAGAGACAGACTATCCAGATGTCGGGCTTTGGTAAAACCAGTAATCTTACTGATGCGGTTCCTGTCGGCATGGAGCAGGCGGACAGCTGGCAAGCGACTGATATCGAGCTCCAAGATATTGTTGTCGCTGAGGTCAAGATAGCGCAAACCGTCTAGACCCTGGGCATCTGCCGCAGTAAAGGCTTCGAGGCAATTCTTCGAGAGCTTGAGCGTTTGCAGAGAAGAGAGCTGTCCGAGTTCACGAAGCTCCGAAACTTTGTTGCCAGTCAGGTCAAGCTCGGTCAATCGGTGCAGCCCGGTGCCATCGAAATCGGCCATCTCGATCTGATTGTTCCGTGCCCGCAGCGAGAGAAGTCCATCATGCTGGTTCAAGCCATCCAAAGAGGTGAGCTTGTTGTTGTCGGCCCGCAGGCTCCGGAGATGAACGAGGTTCTTCAGCGCCGACAGACTGGACAAGTCGTTGTTGGAGATGTCGACGTATTGCAAGTTGGCGAGATGATCCCACGAGGTTAGCTCAGTCAACATGTTGTGCGTCATCTTGAGTTGTCGGATCGAAGTTGGCACTCCGTCGAGATGACCGATGCTGTTGTTAGACGCGTCCAAGCTCACCAAACGACCACAGAACTCGTCCAGCATGTGGAGGCTCGACAATCGCTTCTCGCTCATGTCAAGTTCCGTGAAGTCCTCCCAGTAAGGCTCAAATGGCTCAATTTCCGTCAGGCGATCAACGAGCTCACGAACAGTCAAAGACAAGACCTTCTTAGAGCCGTCGCCAGTGACAAGACGCTGGTCCTCCACAACGTAGCTGACTTCAAAGCCGAATGACTTTTCGTGGTGGTTCAGTGTGAATTCTGACATGGGGCTCAGTGACAAGTTGCCAACGTTGTGACTGATAATGGCGCTTGCGTCCGGATAGAGACCGCCCATCCTTGTCTTGCCGGGAGTCTTGATGATGAAACTTAGACTCTTCTCTTCGTTCTTGGGAGAGACATAGCTCAAAGCACTGTTCTCGCCCAGGATACTGACTTGGCGCTCGTCAGCATTATCGCCAATGACACTATCCTCTTCCCTTTCGTCGATTCGGGAGACGGGCCGAGGGACAAATGACTGGCCGCGAAGCGAAAACTGTCGTGATGGACCACGAGCCGGAGCTGTACGCGGGCGTGGTTGCAGCAAAGTCCGCCGTGCAGTCTTCGTCAAGCTTTGGTATTTGCCTCGTTTGGACTCTTCAATCATCGAGTCCGCATCCACGAAACTGCCCTCGTCATCCTCGAGGCTATCGATATCCTCAGCGGCAACATCCTGTATGATAGAGGCAATGGGCGAAGAAAATGATATCGTCATTCGTCTCCGGGACGGTGAGGAGTCCACGATGCGATCCTCGTCGAGCTGGATCTCGTGCTCAACGTCTCCGTCTCCTGCCTTGCTTTCAAGCTTGTGGATCTCCGTTCTTGCTTGTAGCGCAATATCCCGAGGCAGTGCCGCATCGGGCGACAGCGTCACAAAGCCTCTGCCGGATGAGCTCCGGGGCGTGTCCATGGAGCCCTTTGGTGATTGTGTCATGTTGGCTTCCCGCTCTTCAGCCTCCTTCTGTGCTGTCACCAATCTCAAGTGTAGCATCTCTTTGGTAATGTCGACGGACAAGTCAGGAATGCTTGCAAAAGGGTCGTCTTCGCTGTCCTCAGACGGGATGACAACATGCGAACTTTTAGGTCGGATGCTCTCGCCCCTCCGTTTGATCCAAATGTTTTGTTGGCGATCAAGATACATGCTACCGACCTGATCCGGTATCAGATGCGACACACTCTGTGGCGCAATCGTTTTTCTTGACTCAGAGCCTCGAGAGGAGCCAGTATGCATGGTCCTGTTGGTAGATGCCCCTGACGAGTGAGTACCGAAATCGTCATAGTCGGTAGAGCCATCTCGCTGTCTATTCGGGTTCGCGGAGATACGAATGTTCGGGGGATCGCTGATGGTTTCGTCTCCTCCAAGATACTGGAGGTCATCAACATTGTTTCTAGAGCGACTGCTCTCTTCGATCTGTCGCTCAACCTCCTGCGCAGCTCGGATGGCATCTTGAGCTTGATCCATAGATCTAAGCGAAGATGTGATGACGTCTCCCATGTCGCTGAGCTCCTGGTATTTCTTGAGGTAATCCAGAATCTCTGGGTTTTCCTGGCGTTGCGGTGCTCTTTGCACTGGCTTCCCTTCGCGACTCGGAGGTCGAGACAATGGTTCCCTGGTCGACTCGTACGAGTCGTCAAAAGCAGGACTAGGTTCGCCGTATTCCGCATCGGATTCCTCCACACTGGTCAGGCCGCTAGGGGCCTTCACACCATTTCGGATCATGGCCATGATCTTGCCAGCCTCGTCCAAGAAGTCCTGAGTTCTGATAGATGGCTTACGGTCTGTGTCGAGTGTAGCACTGCGGTCATTGCCACTGGATGTGAACTGGGATCCACGGTGGGGGGTACGTCGTACGGGCCGCTCTTCGTCTTCGTCTTCGGCATAGTCTTCGAGCAAGTTATCTTGGAAGGGAAACTCGCCAGCTTGCAGGGAAGACCTTGAGCTTGGGGTCGGAGTTCGTGGGCGTAGGATATGGCGCGTGGCCAGCACGCTGGGGTGTGCTCTTTGTTGCAAGCTTCCTGGGCGAGCGTCTTTGCGCTTCTTGCCCATCATGCTCTGCATCAAAGCATGGGTTTCCTGGACGGTGTCTAGAAGTGCATACCGCTCTTCCCTCCCATACGCAATGTCTGACTTGTGAAGTGTCCTCCTCCGCTTCGGCGTCGGGTCCTTCGATGGAGAGGTACGTGGTCGCTTCCCTTCAGATGCATCACGTCTCTGTGGGGTACCTAGCATAAACGCCTCGGCTCCCGCGAACTGGACATTACCTCTTTGAACGCTCCCTTCGCTGGCCGATGGTGTGTGCTTGGAAGATGAGGCAGTCGTAGTGCCGGACTTTGCTCGCTTCCTGGGAACAAACATCGAGGCCTCATCTGGCACCGGCGAGCCCGCGACATGCTCGAATCGAAGGACAGACTCTTCATCTTCCGATTCATGTTCAGATCCCTCGTCATCCTCGAAAAATTGGGACTCCTCCTCAAGCCGGATGGACAACTCTTGATTGAATTGATAACCTTCGAGGTCGCCCGCACCAAACTGACTCACAGATCGGGAGCTCGTGGCCGTTTCTTGCTTTGGCACGGATAGGTAGTCGCCAGGAGCAGTATGCGGTCTTCGGTTTCTAGCAGCTGGGGCGAATTCACCGCTGACAGATTGCCGCGATGATCCAGATGTTTGATCCTCGAATTGACTGATGCGACGGAGCAGCGTCTGGTTCGTGAATGTATCGTACGGGCCGAACAACTTCAAAGGACTTGTGCTATTCGTTCCCGATGTGCCGGGTTTCTCCGGACTCGGGTTCGGCACACGCGGTGGTGGTGGGCTCTGAGACCCGAACCGAATCGAAGTGTAGCCGGGGGAGTACGTTCGTACACTTGGGAACTGCTTGGGTGTGCTAGCCTGCAGAGACTCTTCAGGAAGCATCTCAGACGTGTCAACGCCCATGCCAGGGCTGAGACCTCTGTATCTGAAGGACCCATCACCAGACCGGCCACCGCGCCGAGTGTTGAGGAAGCCTCCCTTTCTTGCATAGTCCTCGGTCGTCTCTGCTCTGTCGCTGTCCCCTTCTTCTACACTGCCGTCCATATCGAAATTGAGCTCACCCTGTGAGTCCAAAAGCATCTGATCAATGCGCAGTTTCTCGAGGCGATTCTGGAGCTGGTCGACGGGGAGTTCGGTGGGGGCGGAAGTTTGTTTTGCTTCATCCTGCTTCTGGCGCATCAGCGTGAGGACGATCGGACTAAAATCCTCGTTTCGGATGACACTCTGTCCGCTGGTCTTCCTAGAAGCGTCGTTCGGTGGTGCAAGTCCTGAAACAGAAGCCGCCAGACTTGACTCCTGTGCAAAGGTATTATCTTGCTGCGGACTGAGTTGGCTTTGATTGCTGTGATCGGGAGAGCCGTCGGTCATCTTGTAGGTAATGTGCGGCGCGCGCGGTCGAGGGCTCGGGCTCGGGCTTGGATCCATGTGGCTCCTGCCATCTGATTCGTCTTCGTCATCTCCGTGGTCCTCGTGCTGGCGGTGGAAAAAGGGCGGGCTAGAGGGCATTGTCGTGTTTTGTCGCACGCTCTGATCGGCGATGGAATTATCTTGGGGAGGAGAAGGCGGCTTGAACATGTTTTCGAGACCTGTGGCTGCAGAACAGAAGAGATCTCGTTGTTCGCCATATGCGACGTCGCCGTACACTAGCCTGCGCTTCCATTCCGGAGTGTCGCCGGCTCCTCGCAGTGGAGAAGACCTGATTGATTTATGATGTACAGTATTATGAATGACAGACCCATTTGTTGAGGCTGAGAATGCGCGACTTGTTTGACGTGATTGATCGTTGGGCTTGATCTCGCGGGAAAGCTTCGAGGGGCCCCTGTGGGACAGTGGAAGATTAATATCATTGGTGCTTCGTTCGCTGAGGACACCAGTACTCTTGTCGCTGTTTCCAGCACTCGAAGGTCGTATCCTACTGACGGGGAGAGGTATGCGACTACCGGATCCTTTCCCGCTTGGTGTATTGTTGTTATCTGTCGGCTTCAGAGGCGGCAACTGAGCTGGAGAAGTCTCGGATCCAGCTTGCGAGGGCCAATCCTCGGAGAGGGAGTCGAGCCAAGCATGAGCCATCGTGAGTTGGCGTATGCGATCGGGGTTGAGGGACTTCCGAGACTATAAGCAGTCCATCGAGGGGGGTGGCAGATCGTCGTCGTGAGTTGATGTCGCGGTCTGTGGTTTGCGGGGTGCTAAGTTTGGTGGCTTGGATGCGATTGAAGTCTGTTTACGCGGGCAATTGCAATGCAGAAGTCGCGCGGGAGAAAATGCAAATGAATAAAATGCAGAACGGCAAGCCGAAGAAAATGGCGAAAAGACTGCTGGCGAAATCGCCTCTGCTGCGTCCGCTACCTGCGGTGACGTTTGGTCGTGATATGGGAAAAAAGAGGTGTTGGTATTGTTTCGTGGGGAACGCGGTCGAGCGATCGCGTTTGGGGCCGGCGTTATGTCAATCTCAAAAGCCCACCCTCAGTGTTGAATTTCCCCGAATAAACATAACTAATCCAATGTTATGCTTGATTGGCAGGCTCCAGGTTGCTGTGTCAACCGCCACAACCTTTGGATGGAACCAGGCCGGGCCATGGCCGTGACCCAAAATTCCCCGATCGTCCGATGGCGCTAATCCTTCTATCGAGTCGTGGGGGGTTGCATCTTCTTATTGCATCTACCTCTTGTCCAAGTTGGAGTGAGGCAGGGTCTGTGCTGATCACCTGCGCCACAGCAAGTGCTCCAGCCACGGCGAGCGCGAGATTCAAATCAATTAAACACGATATCACGTGTAGACCCGCCCTAGACGCGGATGTTCGTGCTGGGTCGCGTCGTCTGGTGAACGTGCACGGTCACCGACCCGCCCAATATGGGACCTCTTTGTCTATTCATGTTTGTGCAGTGCGCTGGACCTGGTGACTTTGGCCTTTCAACGACAGACGACCGCAATCCGGACCACCGCCCGGCGCCAATGCGACCGTAGCGCTTCCGACTTCTCCCCTCCTTCGTCCCCGTTCCGTTCCTAAGGCTCATGACTTTTTACGACAAAAGTCTTTTCATACCAACACGATGGATATGGAGGATGGCTGGAGAGTCCGGCGACTGGACGACGAAGCGATGTACTGCGAGGCTCCCCACGATGAATCGGATATCTTGTACGCCAGTCTTGACCACGAAGACCTCGAGAGCCTGAAAGAGAGGAGACGTCGATATGAAGAGGCTGCGACTCGATTTTTGCAGGGACATACGCCAAGGCTGCTTTCTACAGTTCTAAGAGGCCCTTTCGAAGGACCAGGCGCAAAAGGTTGGGTGAATCCATGGCAATCAAGCCGGAAACCAACATCAGCTGCCATCCCGCCACCACCTCCAGTTGCTGTCGTCAAAACCACCACGGAAGTCGAAGAAACCATTGTAGAAGAAGTGTATGTCGAGGATGCAGCGTCTTGCCATCTACCGAGCCCGCGAAGCCTGGATCAACCCAACTTAAGCCCGCACCCTTTCATGGAAACAGAGGAACTAGAACGAGTTGAAGCATGGCGAAATACTACGGAATCTTTGAGCGATACACAAGATTTTGCTTGGTCACTAGAAGCCTCTCTCTCGCAGCCTCAGTCACAGACACAACGTAAGCGACGGTCAACAGGTTCAGAGTGGCTGAAGCGGCAAGACACCAAACGACGAAAGGCAGAGGATACGAACAGTTACCGGGAGGACTCGGCTGCTATCCAGCGGGATAGCGCACGACTGAGCCAAAACGTTGTGCAGAAACAAGTGGACGCTGCCATGGAGGATGAGACTGCAAGCTTGGAGAGCTCTCAAATAAACCCACAAACCCCGCGCAAGGCCTTGAACTCAAGTGCCAGTCGCTCGCACCAGCAACAACTCTCACAAATATTCAACAAATACGCCAGTGCTGCACAAGATGAGATACCAGCGCCGCTGAGCACCCCTATCCAGACTCCCCAGTCCAATAGGAAGGCAGTGGTTAAGACTGGAGACGATGCTCCTCCCAGCAGTGTTGTCACTGTGGTCAAGGAAGAGGAACGGGGTGAATTCGAGACGCAGCAGGACGAAAGTTTCTTATTCCGTGCAAGGCCGAGGAACCATGCCATCAATACCTTGACCTCAAGCCCCTTGAAGAGAACGTCATTTGGCCAAGTTTCTTCCGCTGCTTCCACTTCTTCGATCGAGAGCGACTCCCAAGGCGATGTCCAAGATTTGGAGGGTGACACTTGCATGGCAGACGACACTAAAGCTACTTCCCCAGGATTCAGCGAGGAAGGTGGAGATCAACATTCCCCAGGGAAAGATACAGTGCAAAGAGGAGAGAGCGGCGAGTCTATGTCCAAGCCCCTGGGCAGTGAAATAGCCCTCGATGCGATGGAAACCGACGTGTGCCCCACGAAAACGACGGATGGCGAAATCTCAGAAATGGTTGAGGACCTTGATCAGCATCTGCCAGTTGAGACGGCCGCAGCAGCAGGAATCGCGGATTTGACATCGAGCCAAGAACCGACGGTTATGGCCATTGCTGCATCACAAGATCAAGAAGAGATTTTGGCACCGAAAGAAGCAAGCCCAGTGCCACAACCGCCGACGCCAGAAATCCAGGCCACTTCACCAAAGGAACCAGCAAGCCAAACCTCCAGCTCGTTCGCGGGCATACTACCGAATCTCTTCCCTCAAAGCCCCTGGTCGAAGCTGAGCCAATTCATCATCCCGCGTACTCCTCGTCGGCCAAGCACCACTGGCCAGAGCCATGAACAACTGACTAGTGTCAACACGTTCACTGCTGAAGGCCCCAACGCTTCGCGGACACCGGCAATACCATTCACTGCGTCAGTTGTAGAAACTTCTGTGTCTGTTGATGGAACGCCTGATCGAATAGTTGAGCGACCCCCAGCACGCACTGCTGATAGATTGGTGGACGCAGCCAATCTTCTCAGCAGTCCCGCCGTACCAGCTTCACAACAGAGCCCGTGGAACATGGACGTGCCAGTCATTGCTCAGTCTCAGCAGCAACAACAGCCGAGGAACAGTGATGCAACGAGTACCATTGACCCAAGCTGCCAGAGTCCTTGGACGGCTAGCCCGACCAAATTGCGCCAAGCTGCTCAAGAAGCTCTTATGTCAAAGCTCTTTAATGTTGCCGAACCAACTTCGCCTTCTCCGCTTGCTCCCACCGCTGCGATGACGCCTACAGGTCCGGCTGTCACTATTGAACAGCCCGACAACGCCGACACCTCAGAGCCAGTTTCGCCTGAGCCCATCTTTTCTATCAAGTCCTTTGCGAACTTTCTGTCCCCGTCGCCCGAAAAGCCACGTCGGCGGCTCAACAAGACTCGCCTCAGTGGCGGTCACTTGCCTAGTACGCAGAACCTCATCGCCGCTACAACCAACAATCCATGGGAAAGCGTACAAAAGTCTGTCAAGAGGGTCAGATGGGCTTTACTGCCCAACGAAGTCGAAGGCGAAGAATCTATGGAGAGCCGCAATCCTCACACGCCTACAACGCAAAGAGCTGCTTCGCCGCCGCCAGAAACCGCAGTAGCTGATTTGCCAACCGGCGAAGACGATCAGTATAAAAAACACTTCCAAGCTGTGTCCCTTCGAAAAAGGCTCCATCACCATCTCTTGCCCTCGGCATCTCAGCAAGTGTTGCAAAGCCCGGGCCCAATGGCCATGGCAGAGGCTTTTGTCTCTGCTGACTCCTTCCGAGCACCTCCAGCCCCAGTGGCCTTCGTACATGTCGACGAGGCCCCACTGGCGCAAGACAATGCCGACACGCAAGAGTCAGCCGTCGATGATGTTGACGACGTGCTTCGTAATCTTAACGAGTTTATCGAAATGGTCGATGTCGAAGCTGATCTCGCGAGAGCCAAGGAAGAAGAGCAGAAGCAGGTTGAGAAACAGCAACAGCAGCGAACAAGCCAGCCTACAAGCAACAGCTACACAGGGGGCTTTACTTTTGACGGGATGATGGACGCAGGAGTTTGGGATTGAGAGTTTGTGATCAAAGGAGATGACGTGGACGATGCATCATATATTACTGTGTTCGGATGCAAGCAACGAGCAACTGCGCAAGCGGCGTCGTTATGCGAATTATTATACTAGCGAGGTGTTTGGGGTCATGACAAAATACCACATCATGGGTGGAACAACTGCTTTGCTTTACTTACTCTACGACAAACAGGTAGTTGCTACTCAGTCAGTTTACTATACTTAGCGGTTCCGTCTTCAGCAAAGACTAGACCTTTGTCAAATGTTATCCAATTAGTAACTTGATACTCGTGCAACTTCTGCTGTGAAAGATCACTTGGCCGTTTGCAAGATAGGTCATGTGGTCGAAGTCATCTACATTTCACGATGCCTCTGGAGTGCTCGCAAGCTTTCATCGGAACACCTCTCAGAACCCAACGCAGAGGTTTCTGTCTTGAATTTGTAGACGTGAAGCACTTTGCGGCTTACTAGTCCTCTATCTTCGCCCTTGAATCCAAGCAACGGAGAGCCTGATCGCTTGCAAAAGAAAATCCACGCGTCTGCACTGAGTACTGTAGCCTCGATGCTAGCAAGTCAACACTGCCCAGCCAAATCAGCACCCAGTCACCCAAAAGCTACTGCCAAACACTTCCAAAGGAGGGAGAGGGCGAACTCACTACATAATGACCGGGAAGAAGCACTCCAGCGTATACGCCACCCGATCCGCGTAGCTCGTGACGGGATTACTCTGCGATATATTCAACGAGTGCGTAACGGTCCTCATGACCCCCGTCACCGCCAGCGTCGCGAGCCGGACCTCGGTGCTCCGCACCAGATACCGCACGAATCCGATCCGGAGCCCCGCCTGCGCCGACGCCGCCCGCGCTTCCGCGAACGCGCCGAGGAGGAAGTAGGCGCTCACGCATTCCGTCATGGCGAGCGGGCAAAAGTAGCCAATGTGCAGGCCGTTGATGAGGCTCTGCAGGCTGCCGTCGGCGCGGAGGATGTGCTCGACGCGGAAGACGATGATGAGGACGCGGACGACGAGGACGGCGAAGAGGGCGAGCCAGAAGACCGTGGTGAAGATTTTGCGGCGGGTGCCGCGTAGGATGTTGCGGAGGATGATGTAGCTATAGAAGGGGAGGCCGGCTTCTTGAATCTGTTGGTCTCGTGTAAGTCATCTGCATTGAGCTCCCACGCCCATTCTCGGCATCCCTTGCTTACCATCCAGAAGAAATCCCCAAAGGCCGCGACGACTGCTTTCCTTTCGAGAGGGTAGTACGTCTCGTCGTAGTAGGCATAATAGCACAGCCCGTTCGCGATAGCTCCCGCCGCCGAGGAGACGATGGGAACGACGGCGACCTTGGAGAAGGATGTGATACCGATGACGAGGAAGCCGAGAAGTACGTTGAGCGCCCCGACGGTGCTTAACGGCGACCAGCTCAGCTCGAAATATGGCAAGTTGGACGGCGACTTCAAGGTGCTGTCAAACACGTTGAGTGTCCCCGAGGAACCCATACCCGGTTAGCGATGGGCTTTGGCTACCCAATGAGGCCGAAATTCGAGTGTCTCTAGGAGCCTCATGTGTAGTTGCTGCCAGTAGCTTTGAGGCGAATCCTATGGTTCGTCTGTGTTTGACTTGACGTTCACGTCTGCTCCCAGGGAGGGGAGTTGGCATTTGGAGCGATCGGGCCGTACATGAGTCTTCAACCCTGTCGACGGCTGTAGAGATGCCTTTCTCGAGCTCGGCTATTGCAATCAACGGGCCGACGGGCCGTTTGCTTCAGTCTACCACTGCCGTTTATCAGCTTCTGAATCGGTCGCCATGTCACTGGGTGCGGAGAGTTCTTCTACCTCTGGTATCCAGACCTCTGAAAGCCACGGAACGGTGGGGGCGGGGTTGTCAAAGTCGAGCAGTTCGAGGAGGATCTCGGTCTCGGAAGGTCTATAACTAGCGGGGTTTGACATGGACTTTCGAGAGGCTTTATCTCGGAGCCTCACCGTCGGGACGAGAAGAGATGAACCTAAAATCCGTATGGACGGGTGCGGTTGACGCCGCGTGCCTTCTGCGGCACATCGCGTCGGCACCCTTCACAGGGGATTCGACCCAAAATAAGTTTACCAACTTGACACTCGAAGATCTAGCCCCTTCTCTATGGCCCGTCTCGTATCTGTACGCGGCGCGGCTAATTCTGGGAAGACTAAATGGTATGACCGGAGAGTTACTGCCCAAAGTTTCGACACATTTGCCGTTTGGGTGCCAGTCAGCTGAGGGCTCTAAACGCGTTCTCCTTCAGTCCGATACGGTTTACATCATTGGGATTATCGATCTCTGAGCAGACAACGGTTACCTTTTCCTCATTCCATAAAGGTACCTCGGGAAGAATCCAGTGCGTGACGCAAGCATTGCCCATTGACAACATCAACTTTAGAGCTCTGATCATGATTGCGCGTTTATCCAAGGTTTCACCTTATCAACAACCGCAACTTCAAACCTTATTCTATTCAAGAATGGTTATATTAGCAACAGATGCGTTTTCTTTCCGGCTCTTTATTTCGACTCTTCATAAACTCGATATAGACGTCAATGTCCACCAATTCTAATTAGTAGTTGAAAACTTATCGAGACGAAGTACCTTGCCCGCTCAAAGGTATCACTAGAGGCAGAAGCCACCGGGACATGCATGAGCTTCAGTATGAACTAAAAGGCCATAAAATCAAATCCACAGTCCACTGTTTACTAACAAAACCATCTCTTACTTAGGCCCATGTAGCAGATTTTCCGGTAATCTAAAGTTTGTGATTGAAGTTATCAATTCCCCACTGCAGACAATACAACAAGTACTCCTTCCAACGAACAGAGATCGAGAGTCAAGCTCAGATTCTGGATAACATGAAGCATAGGCTGAGGTCAGGCTCCTTTCTCTCTCCCAGGATTGCAGATGAAAGCTCGGTCTCAAGCATACTCAACTCCCTAATGACTTACAATCTGACAATCCCCAATCCAGGTGCAGTTTCGTCGAGCAATTTATGCTGCTATACTGATCCTGCCGTCGACAAATCACATGCTGCCGTCCCACTCCATGCTGCATGCCAGGAGCTCACTGCTTCGAACACGACGCCCAACACCACCGACATTGTCTCAATCTCAAGTCGACCTCTCAAAATGGTTTCATTGACGTCAGTCTTCAAAGTCCAGGTTAAAACCAAAGCTCTCACCCACTCGTCGTCGATTCCTGGCTTTCAAACCACTCGTTTATGAATGGTTCATACTCAACAACGATATGAAAACCTGAGCTACGTTTATGGTTCTCTGGTAAGCGATGTTTCAAAGGGGACACACCTCATGCAAAGTGTAATGCCTCTAGTCTTTGATTCTTATTCTCCTAGTCGAGATTCCCAGGACTTAAATACACTCCGCCCCCGTCAAGGTAAGATATTGAGAACCATAAGCAAGCACATTGCCTGTGGTTCGTCAGAGTCTTGAGATGCAGGGAATTCAGCCATCTCACTATCCCTTTAGCCAGATATCGCAAGCTGCCGGGGCTACATGATTACCACTGAGTAAGGACACACCTCGGGTGAGGTGCCGAGCTAACGCATCTCATCAAACGTAAGCATGCGTCAAGACAACCAAGTCTCAGTGATTCTATCACCAGTCTACTTATCGCACCTGCCCGATAATGCTTATTCACCATAGCAGTAGAAGCCCCTACTTTAACACAACTCGAAAAGAGCATACTCCCTACAACATCTTACAATTCTGATCCCCCTTTGGACGATACTCGAAGCCGGCGAGACTGGCTCCCACTTTCGTTACCAGAAACTGATCCCAACCTTTGCGTTGATGACTCAAGGTTCTGAAGGCGGCCTACGAGTATGTAGCTGAGATCGCTTTCCAATGATCAATAACCCATGAGATCGAAGTTGCCAGGCGTCTTGCTACCACTCGTTATAGCCTGTCCCCGATATTCTCGAGATATTATGAGTCTTTGCTACGACAATTGAGCAGAAGGCTATCAAGAACGGGATAAACGAGATAGATAATGTAGCACCATGGAGTTTGACTTCTTCGAAACCTGAAACCAGAAACCCGAGGAATGACTTGGAACTCTGACAAAGTGCAGCATTTACTCCAGCCTCGACGGAGCCTTGCATATTTCCCACCAGGTACATGCTATCCGCACATCAAACAAGTCATCACAGAACAAAGGACATCGGAGGCGGTACCTTCCCAGCAACAACACCCAAATAAACGAGCTCATTCCCATACCCAGTCATCTGGACCCCCAACGCAATGAGCTTCGACCCACGGCCCACAACTTCTATAACAGACGATCACCACAAGCAAGGATTTATCTAAACGTGTCGCGCAGGTCGCAGTCCGACTGGATAGATCCCCGGTTTCCCATCAAAAGAGCCCCAGGTACCCACGTGGATGATATACACCGGAAAAGCTACTGCACATCAAGAGGCAGCTTGTCATTGAGACAACACATCTAATTACCTCCTTTCACAAGTATCCTCCTCTCGGTGTCTCCTTCCGGGTTCCCATCCCCAGAGTTCCGGAAGCCTTAACCGTACCCATCCATTAGCAGCAGCTACAGCCCCCCCCCCCCCCGGGCTCACCGACTCACCGTCTCCAAGGTTCAAGGATCTCAACACTCGCGGTGAGCCAGTGCCCTGAGTACAACTACCTACCATAGCAGGAGGTAGGTTTCCGAACGATGAACCACATGGCGGATCCCCGATCTCTCTTTGGATAAGAACACAAGAAATGAGGAACCCGTGAAGGTCAATGCCATCCTCAGTGCAGCCGCGCCCGGACTCCTCTCAAAAAGAAAGATTCCATCGTCCCATGTCCGGCCGGACGTCTGGGGGCGTGCGTGTACTCCGTATGGCACCTTCGGTTACCGGGCCCCATGTGGCCCGTATCATTGGGACGTGAAGCTCCACGAGGTCGTCGTTGATCCTATGATCAAATTTGTCTTCACTTTCGAGTCTCCTATGTATGTTTGTCATCCACCTTTACCCGGTGTACGGATAGTGTCAGAGCAGGACCATGCCCCTGAATTGGGGTTTCAGAGCGATCGACAGGAACATTTCAGGGCCACAGGACCGGTGGCGATGTGAAGCAGGCTGCGCCTCCCTAGCAATCCGGGGAAGGGAATATGGTTTCCGGCAGAGCCTCAGGGGAAAAGTGCAAAGCTGTGGTAAGATGAGGTGCCGTGACGCCGGGCATCTCTCACAGGCTATGCTTTTTTCACGTGGTTGGGTTGATAGGATTCAAGACTGAGGCGCCACCGAGGCTTGAGCTCACCCGGGCCAACCCCTTGTCAAGGCTATACGAACTGAGTTCTAGTCTCCAAGTGCCCAGTAGCAACAAGGCAAGTAGAATCTGACCTGTGTACGTCCGGGTGAAGAAAAGGACCCAACTTTGTCTTGAGGCAAGTCAAGCCGAATCGTTAGTATTACGCCCCAGAGCCCTCTGCGGCAAGTGCACAACCAAGACGCCAGAAGCACGCAATCTTGTACGATTGCGGGAAACACACATTGATTGCCACGAGGTCAGACAATATCAATCCGTCTGAACAGAGTACCATCTTTGGCGCGGCTATCATGCAGCGTACTCTGTACCCGGCCGATCATACCAGAGTACCACGCGGGTCTTCCAAGCTTTTCCTATTTGCCATGTAAGTGCACGCATGGCGTGGCCGGGCTTTGCTCATAGCCAAGGCAGGATATTTCAGTGCATAGATTTGAACAACTTTGAGCGGCTGTCTTTTCAAGGCGAGAGCGAAAGCAAGTAAAGGCGTGGGCGATGTGTTGGGTAACTTGGGTTGATGTCTTGGTTGGGCTGTTGCGAGGCGGTCTGACGAGCACGTTGTTGGATGATTGGCGACGGAGGGTCCATTGGAGGTCTGGCAGATAAGTTGCGGGCTGGGCTTGGCGCAAGCTTGTTCATCCAGACTTCCGGGGACGGGGAATGGGACCCCCTCGAGCTGATAGAACCCCAAAAACATTGGCATCTGCAAAGGGCATTTTGAGACGTGTCAGAAAAGCAAGGTGCGTTTGGCTTAGACCGCAGATAAACGCTCCGTCCCGTCTCGACTGCCTTTGGCGGTAAAACTATTCCGCAGACCGACGAAACAAGGAGAAATGATATTGAAATCGAGGCGAGTGGCCGGGGCCGGGTCCGGGTTTATGAACCTTGCAGATACACAGGGTTGACGCTACTCCGAGAGAGATTGCCAATGACCCAATGGAACCGATCACGGCCTCAATTTCAACGTGGTTTGTCTTTGGTGATGGGTTGGTGGTGTACTTGATTGACTAATGCCATGACGCTGAGGAACATTTGCGATAGTGGTGCTGCGAAAGCGGATCCAACTGTCCACTAACTCAACGACACCTGGATGGCTAACGATATAGGGACGTGCCGATGGGTTGGTCGTCCGTCTGTCTAATGGGAGAAATGGACGACTTGTTCTTTTCAATGCCAGCAGGGCATGCTCTTCAGGACGTGCCGCGGTGTAACCACACCTGCTGGAAAAAGGCTTCCATTCATTTGCTCTTGGCGGGTGACGGATGGAACCATGTTCAGGCCCGGTCAGCAACCCGGACACCGGACAAAACAAGCGAGGAGAGGACTAGCAAGCAGCCCTGGGACAGGGACGCTAGCCAGTGGTCGAAGGGTTGGCCCGTACCGGCGATGTGTGGCATCCTGGGGAAACATCAGGGGGTCCGGCAAAAAGGATTATCAAGGGTGCTGATAGACGCTAGGTGGTTCTGGTTCGGCTCTGCTTCTGGCGTCTGCTTCTGCTTGGATGGAACTGATAGTCCGCGTATGCCAAAGACCCGAGTATCTATTCCGCCATCTGAGCAGCATGCCAACACTCTCTCTCACTTGTGCCGCCATCCTTTTGCGCGACCAAGCGATCAAGCACTCGTCTGATACATCAAATTCCGGTGGGCGAGACACCGAGAACTGTGGCTCTCGAGACGGGCCTGTAGAATCAAGGGAAACGACAACGTGCTCTCTGGAAGTTTCGGGATCAGCGGCCGGGCAAATTTGTCGTGTCGGTGAAAGGGAGAAGGTAGAAATTCGAAAACCCCCAGCTGTTCCGGCATGGCGCGGTGTACATTGCGGTCTGAGATGCTGCTAAGCCGGGGAACGGACCCGAGATACTGTCGTGTCCAGACACCTGTAGTACGCAGTGTCACTGCTTACATCATGGCGGCAGCCCCAGTCGTTTTGCAGTACAGTTCGTCGATGACCCTTGGGTAATAGTGGTTCCAGTGACCTAGACCTAGGACAAAGGCTCTTCGAGACGTTGGGTGAGGCTGTCGTTTAAGAGTCGCAGGGTAGGCTCCAGGCAAGATGCAGGCAGGCGGAGGTCAGCCGGTTGATGATCCCAATGGCTGAAGGGACGAAGGTTCGGCTCCTCTTTCTTTGTGGCCCGTGGGTGGAGGGAGGGATACCTGCTGCTGGCTGATGCTAGCCAGGGCTTCTCCAACCGTTTTGGCGTTTAGGCCCAAGACCCAAGCCCTCCGTTGGCTCCATGCGGTCAAGTAGTGTGTGGTGTTTGGCAGTCTTGACTTTTGGTAGTCAGGATTGGATTGGGCCAGGGACGACGTAAAAACCTAGGAACGATTCCGGGCTGGCTAGCAATGTCCCTGGCGCTGGTGAGTTTTGAGGTTTGTACTCGTAGTGTACAGTAGCTGGAGGTGTTTAAGACGAGCCACTGGGAGGGCTCCGGGAGCCAAGTTAGCAGTCCCGTGGACGGCGTCACACACCGTACAAGCGGGGTTTAGACGAAGGGCTGCTGGGTTGATAGTGGAAGCGACTAGGGTCGCGCAGGGGCGCCCGCAGCCGTGGGAACGCGAGCGACGGGGGATGGCCATGTTTCGATTGACTTAGCGGCATGCGCAAAGCCAGGTGACAGCTCGGGTACCCGTACTTGGTAGAGGCGACGGTGTTATTCTTGTTGCGATGCGATGCGATGCGATGCGATGCGCTGTGAGTGGAACACTCCGTATTAGAGAAGATAGAGTGTGTCGTAGCCGATGCTTCGGATACTTGTTTGCCTGCGTGCTGGCGGTGTTAGTAACGTGGTGCATAGATAAGGAAATCGCATTATTTGAGTAACCGAGCCGTTCATGAAGGCCGCAGTTACACACTTGGATGTGTGGTGTCATGTATGATGTTGGGAAGCGATGTTGAGGGAGGGTTGACTCAAGGTGGTGTTGATGTCAGAAATTGGGTTGACATCCGCTGCCGCGCCGACGGGAGCTGATCCCAAGGGATTATCTCGATGCTTGAGCTGACCGGATTCAAGGCAAGTGCGGAGTACACTACGTGGCTACTTTATTAGATGTGTTACGGATGGCTTCCATTTGCAACTTTGGGATCAAAAGAGTGGAAAGTTGGGAGTTCTGAGTGGTTCTTTCCCATCGTAAATGTTTCCTCCCCCAGGTGCCACTACTTTCCACACGTGGGAGTGGCAGAAGTACTTTTCACGTGCATTTGCTGGGAAAGTGTACATGGATGCCATCTCGAGAAGTTGCGTCCTTATCCTCGGTACTTTGTTTTCCGCCTGGTGAGCCCCTCATTCAGAAGTATCTCGCTTGTGACCGCGCTGTGTACGTATAGATTGTCTTGGCCTCCCTATCAGGGACGCCAGGACCCTGGACATCCCTGCTCGTTACGTCCACTCCTCCGCTCCGAGGCGTCGCGCCGTCTTTCTGCTAGAACTTTGGCCCCCGCTGTTATCAGCAAAAAAAGGTGCGAACCCCAAACCCCAAACCCCAACATGCGCTCTCTACTGGGACCTCCCGCTTTCGATAATGACGATGTCAAGTGAGCAGCCTAGGATAAGAGGCTACCTTTTTCTACAGCACAGTCGGAAGTATCGTCGCTCACAATTTGGCCGGGAGGCTACCTGCATTTTAAGCTGCCCTGAACGTGATGGTCATGGTGTGTTTGCCCCTCCATGACACACACACACACACACTCACTTACTCTCACGCACATTTTCATCCCCTCACTCATCAACCCCGACGTGAGGAGATACCTCAACTTATCTGACATCGTACTGGTGCCAGATACTCCGTAATCATCCATAAGTAAGTCATCGGTGATGGATCGTACTGCCCAGTCTCATGAGATCGAGACCCAGAACTCATGAGATTTGACATCCACTTACCTTGCGGTACTCAGCCCACCGGGCAGCAGCAAGGCCCACTCACCTCCACCGCTCACAGACGCATCGCAGCGCATCGCATCGCATTGGCCCTGGCATTCATTCAGTATCTCACTGGCTCTACTCCGTATCACACTCATACATGCATCACTGTCGTCGCCAGTCACTACCGGCACCCACCCTCACCACTCGCTCATTCACTCACTCGAGTACTCACTAACTCGAGCGGACTCCTTAACTTTCCTTGAACCGAGCCTACCTTGACCTGCCTATCCGTACGGTATCCGTAAGGTAGGTGAGGTGAGCAACTGAGGTGAGAACCAAGGTACCTAACCTAAACTCAAGCACCTTGTAGGTAACTTGTACACCCCCGGCCTCTCGTCACGACCCCGGGCCCCTGGCCTGCCCTGCCCTGTCCTGTCCCGTTCCCCCTCTGGGCCTCTGGGCGCTGTGCGCTGGGCTCTCTGGTCACTCGCTCGCTCCCTCCTTGCCACTGTCCTGCCCAATCCTGCGCCCACACCTTTTTCCCAGCCCGCCCACTTTACTCTTTCCTCTCGCCTACCGCCGCATGTCGTGACGTTCCTTTCCATTTCCCCCATTCTTACACCTTGCCGAACCTCCCACACACACACACTTCCGTCACTCACTCATTCACCACACCACGTAGGAGACGCAACCACGCCGCTCTCTATCCCTTCTGCCGCCCCAGAAACAATCGGCGACCAAATCCTCCCATATCGTCCAGACTCTCGCCAGATGTTTCCCTCATGTCCAGCCCGCCTCGTAACGCCGAAAATGCCGCACCCGCGACCCTGGTGAGCTCCGCGCATTTGTCGTCGTCGTCGTCGTCCACTCCCAGTTCCGCCTCCGCTTCCGCCCCCATCATCTCTAGTCCCAAGTCCAGTCAAAGTCCCAGTCCGAGAGATCCAGCTGCCAATCCGACTGGTCTCGACGAACCTGGTACCGAGCCTGTTACTGATGCTGGTCTTGCTGCTGCCCCGGTCGCTGCTCCTGCTCCTACTGCCGCCGCCGCTCTCCAACACCAAACTCTGCCTCAAGTCCCTCCGCAATCACTTCAAGTTCTAGACACCCCCCTAGCCCAAGCTGCAGATCCACCCCCTGCCACGGCCGCTGTCACCCAGCACCAGCAGGATGTCTCGAGCCATGTCGACCCGAATATTAAAAAGCCCCGAGGCCCTGCTGCCCTCCCGAGGCAGTCCGGTCCGTCCTTGCTAACCCAAGCCCTCGCCTCAGCTCGCGGCATCCCTTCGAGAACACATTCCCACCAAGACCAAACACCGCAACCCTCCAGCCAGCTTTCCACCCGCTCGCTGCCTTCGCCTACCGCCGACTTCGTCCCTTCCAACGCACACTCAAACCCCAACCCGTCCTCTGCTACTGCTGGCCTGGATCCTCTTGCCGTCGACGACCTCCGCAATGTTCCCTCTCTTCCCGGCCATGGCGCCTCAGTAACTCCCCGAAGCGCTCCTCAACCCGGCATCGTACCCCCTTCCGACATTACTACACAGACCGCTGCTGTTCATACCCCCGACGCCGACATGGAGATAATGACATCGCCCACCTACGATATGGCCAGTTTTCAGGGTATTCGAGCAATGCTGCTGGATCACCGCGACTTTCTCAAGAGCACGCGCTCGCCTCGTGGCAGGGGTTCCTCCCTGGAGCGGGTTGATCCGGACACGCGAGCACAGGGAGGCCTCCGGAAAAGCAGAGCTCACTCTCACTCCACCAGTCCAGAGGG